CGTCACTTGTACATAGACAGGTTTAGATTGAACGAATAGACGTAGCATTATCCAAGAGTCTGTCCCAAGACAAATAGTCATTATTAAAGCATGGAGACATGTCACAGGAGAGGCAATACACACTGAGATGAACCTGAACATGAACAGAATGGGACTCCTTTAGGATATTTTCAAAACTGATTCAATTATCGATTGCTGATCTTTTTTTGATGTTTTTAACACCAGGCTTTTGAGTGTTTTTATCCTCATCTTCAGTCAATTTGAATGTCTTATCTTACTCTTATGAGGTATTCAACAATGCACTATCTTCCATACAGGTCATCTATTCATCATGGGATAACACCTGAAATAATTGGTTGCTTATTCAATGTTCCACAGATAAAAAAGTCATTAAAGGTCCCATGTCATGGCCATTTCTACTGATCATAATTCCATTGTTGAGGTCTACTAGAATAGTTTTATATTGTGCAATGTTCCAAACTCACATTGGTTTCTCATACAGCATCTCTGTATAGTATGTGTATTCACTCTGTGTCCTAAACGGCTTGTTGGAGCTCCTGCCCCCCCCCCCCCCCCTCCCTGTGAGCCCAGTGGCCGTCTGCGAGACAGCGAGACACAGCGAAACCCAGCACGAAACACACACACACACGCAGCCTGGCTGGGAGTTTGTGTGTGTGCTCAGGCTGAGTTCCGCGCTGTCTCGCTGTCTCGCCGATCCCACACCAGTGAGCCAGCTCACAGTGTCCCGCTCCTCGCAGCAGCGAGCCTCGCAACGTCCCGCCGAGTGTGTGTGTGTGTGAGGAAGTCAGCGGATTGGTCCAAACGTAATGGCTCCGCGGACGTAACGTCACTATACCCGAGAAGTAAACAATGGAAAAAGAGAAATGTCCAACGAGGCGTTCTGGGGCAGCATAGACAGGTCTTCTCTGTGTTAGAGTTTTACTCGCTACAGGGTGTACTTTGAGGGTTTGTGACTCTGCAGACCGTTTACATGCAGAAGCTTCATAACACACAAGGGGACGGGTGATAACCAGGAAAGCATGACATGGGACCTTTAAAAACTAACTAACAATCTACCAAAAAGCATGTTTTTCTTTCTAAAATATTCCCAATGCAATGCAGGTATGTAAGAGCAGGAGATATATCTGCCTTCTCTGCGGTGTAAAGAGTACATACAGTTTTATTCACACGAGGCCTTTGAGTGTTTTCATCCTCATCTTCATTCAATTTTAATTACGAATCTCACTCTTTTCGTTAATTAAGCCCCAAAGCTATGGAACAAAATACCTACAGACATCAGGGAAGCCTGCGCGGTGGAGATCTAAAAGAAAACATATCTGTATAATTTAGCTTTTTAGGAAGCTAACTCCTGCTCTCTGCTGCACTCCATCTGCAATCTACATTCACTTTGTATATGTCTATTCTATGGTTTGATTGTATGTCTTTTACTGTTAACTGGTAAATATATGATATCAATTGTCTGTGAGTATTTCAAGAGATGTCTACTGTGAAGCACTTTGAACTGCTATTCTTGTATGAAAGGTGCTTTAGAAATAAAGATTATTATTATTCTTATGAGGTACTCAACATTGCAATATCTTCCACACAGGCCATCTCTTCATCATGGGATAACACCTCAAATAATTGATTATTCAATGTTTCAACAGTCATTAAAAACAAACTAACAAGCTACCAAAAAGTATGTTTTTCTTTGAAGGTCCCATGTCATGCTTTTCTGGTTATTACCCGTCCCCTTGTGTGTTATGTAGGTTGTTCTGCTTGTAAACGGTCTGCAGAGTCACAAACCCTCAAAGTACACCCTGTAGCGAGTAAAACTCTAACACAGAAAAGACCTGTCTATGCTGCCCCAGAACGCCTCGTTGGACATTTCTCTTTTTCCATTGTTTGCTTCCTGGGTTCTGTGACGTGTGAACACCCAAATCAACAACAAATGACCGGATTGGCCCAAATGGACCAATCCGCGGAGCCCCTCACACGCCAGGATCCCTTGGCTAACTAACAGGGAGTCCCCATTGACTTGCATAGAGCTCCCTGAACGCTGGTAATAGACGAGTTGGGATCGTGGAGAAATGCTCTCCGCAGACCCATTCTCACAGCGTTATAAACCTTTTTCTTACTCAATATCAAGCCACACTTATTGTTTTTACTTCTGCTGTGAGTGTGTGTGTGTGCTCAGGATGAGTTTCGCTGTGTCTCGCTGTATCGCCGACCCGGAAACCTGTCCGCTCCTCGCAGCTGCGAGCAGGCAGCAGCGGCGAGCAGCAACGAGCCTCGCAACGAGCCTCGCAACGTCCCGACCAATCAGAGCACACTGGGCTCATAGGGAGGGGGGGGCAGGAGCTCCAATAAGCCGTGTAGGATAGAGAGTGAATACACATACTATACAGAGATGCTGTATGAGAAACCAATGTGAGTTTGGAACATTGCACAATATAAATCTATTCTAGTAGACCTCAACAATGGAATTATGATCAGTAGAAATGGCCATGACATGGGACCTTTAAGCAAAAATACCAAACAAATCATTGGTTCCTGCTTCTAAAAAGTGAACATTTCTTTACATGAACTTTTATGACCATTGGGTTGGGAAGTCAAATCACTGCATAATTATAATAAACTCAAAAAACAAGATCTTCTGAGTTATGATTTTAAAATGTTTCATTGTTATCTCGCATTGCAATACATAACAAAGATGTATTATGTGATATTAAGCTCAATTTCACACTGTAATATTTCCTATAATCTTTATGCATATTCTCTCGTGCACGGCTACACTGACCCAGTGTCCTGCACCGGTACATGATATCTCCACAGTTCCTCTGTAATGCACCTGTGTCCATGCCTGTTGCTGCCGTTTGAATTAGAAGCTGCTATACTGGCCGACTTCTCACACGCTGGATTAACGCCTGAATATCAGACGTTAAGGTTTTTCCCATCTTGTTCCTCCTGGTACTCTGGCACTGGATAAGTTGTTTCCTGACGACCAATCAGGTTGCAGCTTTCCCTTTCTATGATCCTAAAATATCCCCCCGCAGCAGAGCAACGCAGGTATAAAAAGAACGAGAGAGATATCTGCTTTCTCTGCAGTGTAATGGAAATAAATGGCACTCGGCTTGTTGAGTTTAAAGTGCAATTTTGTCAACAGAAAAATCAAATGTATAGCTATGTTTCTTCCACAAATCATGACCCATTTACTCCAGATAGTCGTGCTGTGAGCAGCTTAATGTAGGAACCATGTACCACCGTCATGATTTCTGCAAAGACACATTACTGTCGATTTTTTAAATGTCTTTTGGGGCAATTTGTGAACCACAAGTGAACCTGGTTGCATTATGTTGAATAAAAAGGATCAAATCTGCAACGCTTTGCAACTAAACAATCCACACTGATGACGAGCACTACAGGTAACAGGAGAGTGTGTATACTTATGTTGGGGTGAACTGACACTTTATTGTACATATTGTAATATACATGTCGTATAGTGAAGTACAATTTGCATATTTGTATTAAATATTTGCCAGATGTTTCCCCCAGATTTTAATTCTGTTTTAATTCTTCATTTCATTGCACACCCCTACTTTAACTTGTTATGTTTCTATAACAAATGTTGTATACATTGTTATTGAATATATGTATTTTCTTTTGATTCTGATTTAAATAAATAAGGAGAAATCTGAGGGTTGACACATCATAAAAGACAGCGACCTTCGACTAAAGCAAACAGCTGCTGCTCACAGCTCTGCTTTAAAAGTGTGATATCAGATCCATGTAGGTGAAATGCAACTGATCTCAGCTGCTAAAGGACATGCTTTGTCACACACACAATCACACACACAATCACACACACAATCACACACACACACACACACACACACACACACACACACACACACACACACACACACACAACACACACACACACACACACACACACACACACACACACACACACACACACACACACACACACACACACACACACACACACACACACACACACACACACACAGAGAAGGAAATGTGGCCTGTTCCCACTGATGGACAACAGAAGCTGTGGCAGAAGGATGGCATTAAAAACCAGCAGGGGATGTGGTGTGATGAAAATGTCAGACTGAAAGCAGCAGGCTATGTTCTGTAACATGTTTAATCAAATTACAGAGTGTGTGCATTGCTGACAGCAGTGTGTGTGTGTGTGTGTGTGTGTGTGTGTGTGTGTGTGTGTGTGTGTGTGTGTGTGTGTGTGTGTGTGTGTGTGTGTGTGTGTGTGTGTGTGTGTGTGTGTGTGTGTGTGTGTGTGTGTGTGTGTGTGTGTGTGTGTGTGTGTGTGTGTGTGTGTGTGTGTGTGTGTGTGTGTGTTCATGCATTGTATGTCTGTAAGGTATAAAAGTGGATTTGTGGGAGTCTTTCCAAGTGGATTCTGCGCCTAGATTTGCATTTACTTGCATTTGTGTTTCATGTCTGGAAGTTTTCAAGCACTCAGCAATCACAAGTAAACAAGGTAAACAAGTTGAAAGGGAAAACACAGTTTGCATTCACATCCCATCTCGTAAAATCTGATCTCGCTCTCTCTCCAGCTGACACATTCTCAGCACTTAAGAATTTAAGAGGGTACTTGCTACCAATTTCTCCGTAAAAGGCTTTTTTACAGGACATTCAGGGTACATTTATTTCACGACAAACCCAGCGAAGCGCACAGCGAGGAAGCCTGATGTCACTCAGAGGACTGTCTTCATGCTGCAAATCCAATGTGATGTGCTCAGAAACCCCTGCAGCAGCTTGTTGAAATCAGAGACTATTATTGCATTTAGGAGCTAAAGAAACATCTAGACTCCAGATTCTGTCCTCGTTCGTGACTCCGTTCCCCGATTTTTGAAATGTTTTGCATGTGTGTGTTCACAGCCTCCAGTGCTTATGCATCGGTTCTGCTTGGCCACCTGTTTGTGTGTTTGCATTAGTGTGTGTTTGTGCGTGCAACTCACCCAGCCAATACGATGAAGAAGTCCAAGCGGTTCCACGTGTCTCCGAGGTAACACTTCTTGCCAAAGATCCCCAGAGCCAACATCTTGATCACCATCTCGATGGCGAAGAACGCGAAGATGAAGTCGTCGAATTTCTGCGGAAAGAGAGAAACAAAACACAGGTTAGCATTATGAGGGAAAGTGAACACAAAGTCCCGCTAAGGACGATGCAGATATGACTGGTTTTAATGCAAAGTATTGGAGAAAATTGAACTCTTTATCTAGTGATAGTTAGAAATGAAAAGTCAGAGGATCGCTTGACTTGTTACTAGTGTTCATTGACTAAAACTATGGCGAAATATGTTCGTCACCGACCTTTTTTTCCATAAAACGAGACGGCACCGACGGCAGTAAACAATAACTGTAACGAAATCAACATGCAATATCGTTGACGAAAAGTGACGAGACGAAATATTATCAAAGATAACGTTACATCTCTGATAGTCAGTTTTTCTCCCAGCAGTTCCATTTCCGGTGCTGCGGCTGGGCAGCAGCTGTGTGTGTCTGTGCTGCGCGCGGCGGCACATTTGAATTACACCGGGCAGCGGCACACTGTGAACTGTCAGGAAGACTCGGGTCTAACGAACCTTATTAAACAGAAAGGAAAATGGCAACAACAGGGCCTGGGAGCAGTGGTCGCATTAACCGAATACCCCCCGTCAGCGCGAGTGAGTGACGAGTTGTGTACAGACCCGACAGGTAATAATGGATTATGACGGAAATGTTACGATCCTGTCCATCAAAATGACTGACAACGAAAAAGTCTAACGCCACCAGTGCCTGGGAGAAAGAAACGAGGCGATATTTGGGCCCATTTTCGCTACAATGAGGCAGAGAAAAAAAGTGAATGCATTGTTTTATCAGAAGGGAAGCAATGTGGCCATAACACAGCTAAAACACCACAAACCTGACCAGATACTCTCTGCAAAGCTGCATTCTTAATCATTCAACCTGTGGTTTTCATCAAATAAGGATAAGATATAATGTTATTGTGAAATAAATTTGACTAAAATGACAAATGATTGGTTTTGGCTAGACTAGACTAGTTTGACTGAAATGTTCTATTTAATCTGATGACTAAAAAAGACTCAAATGTCAACAGTTTTTTTCATTGACAAAAAGTAGACTCAAATAGTTAGTTTACTTTGACTAAAATAAGACTAAAATGCTCAGACTTTTAGTCGACTAAAACTTGACTAAATAAAAACAGGATGAATGTGACTAAATATGACTAAAACTAACAAGGACATTTGATAAAGGACTAAAACTAAATAAAAAAATAGCTGACAAAATGAACACTACTTGCTACCATTCATCCTGAGGGGAACATGAATGTATTTAACACACTTTATGGACATCTTTCCAACAGTTCTTTAAACAGTTCACCCAAAACCACCAATGCCAACCTCACTGTGGCTCTAATGGATCAGACAGTGGTTCATGAAAAATATTAGATGACATTATTTGGGAACAAAGACCCAATTTTGTCCAGATAGTGGTTTATTTCAGATTATTGGAGCGTGTTTTCAGGATCACAGGCTTTCTGATTATCATGAGATTGGTTTGTAATGTTTCCCGAACTATTTTTGAAAAGTATTCTCTGCTTGTGTCTTGTCTGGTTTCACTTCCTGTCTTACATCTACCAGACTTTGAATAATACATTGATACAAAACTAGGAACGTGGCGCTAATGACTGTAACATGATTAATAGCGTCAACACATCACAGTATTTTCTGAGTTCTGTGTCTTTTCTAAAGCTTTCTTTCTGATTCAACATGTTTGAAATGTTGAATGAAGCAGATTTGAACCCCTTTTTCGCAACCAAGGAAATCGCCCATTATTATCAGCCATTTCAAGTGCATCAGTCAAGCTCTAATACCAGTCACATTTGACTTTCAAAAAGATCCCACTGGGAACCTTTGACAGTAAAGTGATTCTTTATTCATTCCTGCAGAGAGGAATCCTCTTTTCTCTTTGCCCTGTCGTCAAGAGGCTCACTGGGGGAGTGGGGGGTTTAAAAGAAAAGAATAAAGAAGATAACCTTGATGCATCTGAAAGGATTTAGTGTGTTGCTCAAGGTAGGGCTGTGAAATTAATCGTATTTTAATCTCGATTACGATTTTGGCTTGCAACGATTATGAAAACAATGTAATCGAAATAAAACGATTACTATTTTTATTAAAAAAAAAAAAAAAAATGTAATTTTTAATTTTTTTTTATTGGTTTTTCAGTTGAATTATACTTAAAGTTCAGGGTAATCAACTGTTAAAAACATACTGTTCAAATTTTTTTTTCAATATATGGATGTTTTCAAAGTAAATGGATAATCGTTTTTAATAATCGTGATATCAATTATTGACCAAAATAATCGTGATTATGATTTTTGCCATAATCGCACAGCCCTAGCTCAAGGACTCTTCAGCATAAATGATGCAACATGACGGCCCTAAAGATGGCTTTGCACCCACCGTGATGCAACCTTGAACCGTTAACAGGAAGTCAAGTGACAAATGCCCCCCCCAGAATTAGATGTAATAACCTGGAACAAGGCGCTCATTGCACTGATCAGTATTCCTGAAGTCATTACTGTCTGTCTGGCTGTCTGGCTTCAGCTCCATCTTTTCTAATCATTATCCGACCGGACTGAAGGGCGAGAAGAACGAGGACAGGATGGACTCATTTCTTTCAAATATGAAAATCAATAAAAAATGTATTTTCAAAAAAGGTACAAGAGATGATGAGGGGAAGGAATGCAGCTCAACGTGAAAAAAAACTAAACAAAGTGAAATAGAAATATTCTGGAAGGAGATCAAGGCGCAGGACACCCACTGAAATATGAGTCATCCAAACAGAGAGATGTATAAATATATCAACCCCTGCTTCCTCGCCGCTCTAAAGTTAATATGTAGAGGTTCACACGGGAATGTGTGTGTGTGTGTGTGTGTGTGTGTGTGTGTGTGTGTGTGTGTGTGTGTGTGTGTGTGTGTGTGTGTGTGTGGTGTGTGTGTGGTGTGTGTGTGTGTGTGTGTGTGTGTGTGTGTGTGTGTGTGTGGTGTGTTTGTGTGTGTGTGTGTGTGTGTGGGCACATCCGCCCCGTCTTTAAAGAACATTCCTGTCTGGAAATCCCAACAGATGTTACGCAACATTTGGGATTGCACTGTTGTTTCCAGGAGTCAGTCAGACAGTCTGTTTCTGCCTCGGGTCTTTCCCAAATACTGACCGAACATCAGTCCAGATGTTTGACATACTGTGCAACAACTCCAGAGGCAGAGCACATTGTTCAGTGAGGCATAGTCAACACCACCGAAAACAAAATGTTGTTTAAAGGGGCGCTATTCTACTCATTTTCAGGTGTATAAGCATGCAGTGTCTCTACTTTAAAGAGTCCTCTCCTGCTGATGTTCAGCTGTATATCAGTATGTAGTGTCTCTACTTTAAAGAGTCCTCTCCTGCTGATGTTCAGGTGTATATCAGCATGTAGTGTCTCTACTTTAAAGAGTCCTCTCCTGCTGATGTTCAGCTGTATATCAGTATGTAGTGTCTCTACTTTAAAGAGTCCTCTCCTGCTGATGTTCAGGTGTATATCAGTATGTAGTGTCTCTACTTTAAAGAGTCCTCTCCTGCTGATGTTCAGGTGTATATCAGTATGTAGTGTCTCTACTTTAAAGAGTCCTCTCCTGTTGATGTTCAGGTGTATATCAGTATGTAGTGTCTCTACTTTAAAGAGTCCTCTACTGCTGATGTTCAGGTGTATATCAGTATGTAGTGTCTCTACTTTAAAGAGTCCTCTCCTGTTGATGTTCAGGTGTATATCAGTATGTAGTGTCTCTACTTTAAAGAGTCCTCTACTGCTGATGTTCAGGTGTATATCAGTATGTAGTGTCTCTACTTTAAAGAGTACTCTCCTGCTGATGTTCCATGCACTAGAACCACACATAATAAGAACAATAGGGCCTCTTTAAGCTAAATACAATCTAAATGTTCTGTCTTCTAGAAGTAACTTTTCTCTGCCAAAGGACACAGAGGTGACAGGTATTGGCTTGAGTTGCTATCAGGTGATGATCAATACGTGTTGATTGATCCTCACCTGATATTTCTTCCAATTTGGAAACCCCAGAGCAGAGCTAACCTTGACCTTGAGAGTGTGTGTGACAGACATGTGCTACCTACATAAAAAGAGGGTCAAACACACAGGAGGTGGTGTAGGACTAAGCCCTAAAACCCGGAAATGTGGTACAGTTTTTGCACTTCCTGTCCACTCGTCTGGAAGTCAATCGTTTTCTGAATGTGCTGGTAAACATGTAAGTATCATAAAAGTTAGTTTGCCACAGAAAATCTAAATCCAATGGAGAAATCATGTTGGGTTTTTGTGGATTGAACCAGAAAGAGGCTAACTTTCAGTTTAACCTACAACATAAGTCATCACGTTAAGACTATTTTCACAATGTCAAATAGAAAAATGTATGGCCATGTTAAGTAAAAATGACTCTCCTCTTAAACTCCATCCTTCTGTCTCTTCTTCTTTTTGTGATAATGACAGAACCATGTCCTCTCGTCTCTTCTGGGAAGTAATTACTCATTTATTTAGCATTAGCTAAAGCCTGCATAAGACTCAGGGTGATGGTGACACTATCTTAACACACACACACACACACACACACACACACACACACACACACACACACAAAACACATGCATGAACGTGCAAACTATAACACATACAACATGGGACTAAGCCATCAGGGACTCCTTATATATTGACATTCAACTAATGTCTCCAAGCTCGACCTTCCATAAGGTTTTCGCTAAACATATGCAAACACACTCGACGCACAGCTGGGATTAAAATGCGTTGGACTTCCCGCCCTGAGGCTTTCCCGGTCTTTGCAATCAGGAAATTGATTCCCCGAAACGTGTATCACACACCAGTGGAGCGTGAAGCGTGTTGCATGTTGCTGATGAACATGGATTGGAATGAATATACCAACGTACAGCGGAGAAAAAACAACTAACAATTACAGACTAAAGGTTCCTTATACATTTTTACAGTAACACTCACTGCTGTCACTGTACGTCTCCACACACACACACACCC